TTGAGAGATGCTGTAATTCATCTTAGTAGCTAATGATTCCTCACAGCATGTGTGCAGTCTGCTTTACCTGCTGACAGTCACGTTCTTCATTCCAAAGCAATATTCAGTTACACTTTTCCAAAAACCACCTTATAGTTAACCTCTTAAGCCTCAACGCCTAACCGATCTCCTGCCTTTTGCCCCCGTATCTGGGGGCGTTCACATAAATTGGTGCCGTCATTAACTCTCAAAGACAAAGAATTTAGTCTGGACGTGAAATCTTTTTGGATGTAAAGTTTCTGTTTCGCTTTGGAAGCTTCTACAAACCTGTTTGTTTGTTTTTTGAAATGAGATTTGACCTGGTGAGTCAGTGAATCTGTCCTGGTGATCCTTGGATTTAAAGTTCATTTAGCAGGGGTAGATCTGCTGTGGTGGCGTGGGTGAAGGGGTGTTATTAACCCTCTGGGGTCGATGGACACGCCGCTGCCTGCAAGTCATGTGACCGGTTTAAGATGACACAGTAACAAGATGCAACTCTGCTGAGTCTCTGTTTAACTTATAGTAAGTAAGTAAAGTTTATTTATTTAGTCACAAAGCGCTGCACACAGAGATTAAAATAAACAGTATGATAAATAGCAAAATGCACAATAAACACAATATAGAGTTTAAATGTAAATTAAAATATAAAAATGTAAAAAGCATTGGTCAACAGAAAGCTTGTTTAAACAGTAAAGTTTTTAACTGTTTTTTAAAGGATTCAACTTATGGCTAAAGTTAAACTACATGTTGCTGATCGGCCACGTTACACCAGAGTCATGATAAAACATCACACACTGCTTTTTTCTAAATACTACATGTTTAGTGCAGGAAGGAAGAGTGAACATGGCCGCGCTAACGACAACAACACACCAAGGAAAAATGCTTCCCCTTTCCTATTGGTGGACAAATGTACCAATCCCAAAACGATGGCTGAATGTGACCTTTGCTGTTTAGGAAGAGGTCAAAGTTGTCGGGATATCGATGGGAGAGATTTGTGATGTTTAGCGTGTTTGGAGTGTGTAGTTAGTGTGTAGTTGTTTTGTTCTGAGTGTCACAGTCAAAGGCAGGCTGCAGTGTGAACGCTGTGTCCAGGTGGACGACGCCTCCTGCTGTCTCGTGGTGGACACAAACTACTTTTTGGAGTTGCACAATAATTTGTGTGGCGTCTTACTGTGACACTTCCTCATTTTTCAACTTCAAGTTATGTTTCTTGACTGATTTTAGATCATTGTGTGAATGCCGTACGTCACCATGAATAAATAACTTTATTTATTCAAGACGAGCTAAACGGTTTAGTCAAAACAGCCCAATAAATCCTGAAAGATGAGGTTTAAGTTTTTGGTAAAAATGTGTTCACAGTGCAGATTTGTGTAAATGTAAGCACGTAACAGAACCTCATGTGGAGAAGCTTCTAGATGTTTGTACTTATTGGGCTTTTATTTATTAAAAGGTTCTACAGCAGCGGTCCCCAACC